GTCCACTGCTGGAAATAGGCCTCTCCTTATAAAGGAGGTTTTGGCCTACTATACCACGCTGGCCAGACGGGTTGGCTGTGTCAAGTTTTCCTTCTCTTTGCAGAGCTGTTGTCCTGCGTAATTTGCTCCCTTAGTTGGCTCTCACGACACCTATGGGAGGTAGTTACTTTCCATCAGAGAACCCGGTTACTTGTTTACCCCTATTACTAAACAACCCCATACTTTTTTTTTACGGCAAGAATATTGTTGCGAAGATGGTGCAGCAAATACCACTACCACTTACGATACATTCTACTACAAACAGACGAAAGCCACATTCCTCCTTTTCTTTGACAGAAATGTTTTGTTTTGAAGATCACAAAAGACATTGCCGAAAAACACTCAATGGGTAAACCAACTAAATAAACAAGGGCTTAAAAGTCAAAGCTGTTAACTCCTTAAAGAGTATCAGCTTTATCTGCACGTTCGAAAAGACCAGATCTTTAGGATGTAGCCGTGTTGGTAGCGTTGTAGGTAGTGATTCAGGACTAAGAGGATAAAAGATGCCTAGTTTGGTCTAGTAGGGGGGGTCGCAGTCAAAGATTTTGAGAATCATATAAATAGTAGGGTTAAATTAGATAGAGACGAAACTGATATATATTCATGATATCTGCAAATCTCGAAGCTGCATAGCCGGATATCGAATATCCGGCCAAACATATTGAGCATGACCTTTTCTTATGGCATAGAGGGGCAAACGAGCAGGTCTGGTCACCTGATGGTAAGTAACTACCGTCGCCCATGGACACCTGCAAGTTCAGATTCACAAATGCCTTGCTGCCCTTTGAATACTCCCCCAGAATCTGGAGAAGGAGGGGTTCGGGCTCCGGTAACCTCACCCACTCAGTGGAAAGTAACAAAAGAATTGCTTAATACCAGTTTCTTGTGAGGTCGTGGTATCAGGTATCACCTCGGAAAGCCCAAAGATGCACCATGGCTCTCCAGCAGTGCTACTCTCTAAGGAAACAGCGTTGCGTACAGCGCTGCCACAGCGTCAAACTTCAAACTAACTTAGTTTGAAATTCCACGCTGTGATAGCGCTGTAACCAACGTAGTTTGAAATCGTGTAACTAATTTAGTTTGAAATTCGACGCTGTGATAGCTGTGATAACTAACGTAGTTTGAAATCGTGTAATGAATTTAGTTTGAAATTCGACGCTATGTCAAGACTCGGCTGTTTCCTTAGAGAATAGCACTGCTGTTCAGTTTGAAGAATAGCGACCAAACTCCGAGGTTTCAAATTATTATTGTTTTTCTAATAAATTAAATAAACAGCGTTCGAGTTTTTATCTAACATAATCTAATAAGTAATGATTTCTTCACTTTCAAATGTTTTGTTTTACACACAACATTCCGTTAAGGCATTGCCACCATTACTCACGCCACATCATATAGAAAATATAATCATGCCTCGTTTGCACTATCATTTAATTTAAATAGACTACATAAATATATAACGCGTTCCTGTGTATGGAGTATCATCTACTCGCAATCAATCACACGTGAAGTAAAAAAGCGATAATATCCTTTACTTTTTTTATTAATGTAATCATGTGCTACATTTCTATTAGACATTAATCTGGCAAAGGCGAGAGCTTGTTCAGTGTAAGTATGTTTTAATTAGGGGCCACGGGCGAAACGGCTGAATGTTAATAATAATTATAGGGTCCGCGCCGACTGAGCCTCGTTTAGTTCACGTGGTCATATGTAGGGCAGATGTTGGGCAAGTCAAGTATAAAGTACGTTTTTGTGAATTATTTGTTCAAAAACCGTTTGGTTTAATCTACCTATATTAGAAGGTTGTAATGGCAGTTATATATATATTTCCTATTTATATATAATTTTGTATCAAAACATTAAATTTCAATTACTGTTTAATTTTATTTACTTATTATATTTTATGTATAATACACAAAATAATTGATAGAAAGTTTTTTTTTTTATAAAACATTTGTAATTAATTGCTCATATTAGGGCTTAAATCAATGTACTATTTGATAGGAAAAAATCTTTTAAGTCACACTTATAAATTAAGACTAGATATTGTGGAAGAGCCATGCTCCGAGTATAACTCCTATTCTACACCACGTCCTCACGAAAAACTAATGTTAAGCTATTTTCTATTATATTTTCTATTATATTCTTGCTTTCCACCCAGTTAGTGAGTTTATAGAGCCCAATAACCTCCCTCCAACCCCTCCTCCTGATTCTGGAGAAGAGACTCAAAGGGCGGGAAGGTACTTGTGACTCTTGAGGTGTAGGCGTCTATGCGCGGCCGTAATCACCGGATGCTGCTACAACCTTTTATTACAATAATGTTCAAAACGTTTAAATTACTTATTACCATAAGATGAGTTTGTTTGCCCTTTCTCCATGAGTTTGTTTGCCATTTCTCCTCATAAGGCTTAACTACTTGGAAATGGGCGGTTGTAGACCGGCACAGGCATATCATAGATTTTGTATGAGTATAATTTTTATTAATTTTATTTTGCTAACTATTTGACAAAACAGAGATTGTTGCTATTAGGTGTGTTGATCTACGACTAGAGAGACTAGAGAGATCTAGAGTCTACATAAAAGGCGATTTCAAAGAATGTTATTTTTTTTTTAAATAAAGATAGTTTTAGTCTATTGCAGCAGTACAAGTTTAGTTACTTGAATTAACATAAGTTCGTGATGATTAGTTGTGGGATATAGTACGTGAGCTAGTCTATTAGCGTATGTAAAGGAAGCATAACGGAGGGCGTATTGACGCCTCCGCAGTACAACGACGCTTTAGATTCCTGGTTGAGTTGTAATCGTAATTAGAGGCGAAATGAGCCCCGCAGTGATGTTCGAACCTCCTTAATTACTAATTAAATAGCAGAGAAACGTAACACGTTGGATTATAAACTAATTAATGTTGTGATCTTTGTTACTTCGTAAATTAATATTAGACCTGACTGCACTACGAGTTTATATATTCGTCTATGATTTCAGATGTTTCTGCTTGAAATTCCTGAGTGAGATATTTAAAAAGTTCATTGTTTTACTCTTAGTTATAACCGAACTAAACTATACATACGACCTTCAAACCTTCAAGAAAAGAGCGTACTCCTTCCTAAAATGCCGGCAACGCGTTCATGACTTCTGAGTTGCAGACGTTCATGGGCGGCGATGTTCACTTTCCATCAGGTGAGTCGTCTGCTCGTCTGCCCCCTCTAACGTAAAAAAATACATATAATATTAGCTGCCATGACTGACGGAGTCTAAACCGCTGGGTTTAAAATCTTGAAATTTTGTCCGCTCATGCTCTTATGTTGTAAGCATCCATTAAGATAGGATTTTTACAAATTACACCCCTGAGGGGGTAAAATAAGGGATGACTGTTTGTATGAAAGTTCGTTATTTTCAAAGTAGAAGTAACACGAAATGAGGAATAATGACGCGATCGCAGCTACAGCCAATATATAGTTTAAGTAAATATAAAAGCTGTTTCTGGTATTGAGTCTATGCTATTGAGGTAGATATATCTTAATTTTTTTCTAGTCAGTTACGTAATAAAAAAAATTTTTTTCTGTGGTATAAGGGGACAAACGAGCAGACGGTTCACCTGATAGTAAGCAACTACCGCCGCCCATGGACACCTGCAACTCAAAAGTCACAAGCGCGTTGCCGCCCTTGGAGTCCCTCTCGCTCGAGTCAGTGGGATTTGGTCTCCGGTAACCTCACTCACTCAGTGAAAGGCAACGAAAGAATAAGCAATTCTTTCGTTGCCTTTTTTCAACACCGGTTTTCTGTGAGGACGCATTATCACTCCGGTCGAGCCGGCCCGTTCGAGCCGAAGCATGGCCTCCCACTGTAAAAAAAAAATATTCGGCTGAGGAGATGAAACATGTTGAGGTTTCTATTCGAAAGTAGATTATAATTTACGATCATTCAAGTCAAAACGATGTTTCTATGTTCTTTGCAGTAATCGAATCCTCGAATGATATAACAATTTCATTCCATGCCAAAAAAAAAAAAATTCACTGTTTTCATCTTTCCTGCCTTCACGGCTGAATTAGGCTCTTTTACGATATCAAAACTCTGTAGATCACTTAAAAGACCTTCATTTTCTATGATTCGACACATAGTTATTTATAAACAGCAATTTTCCTAACGTAAAGTAACGAGTCAATGTGCGGCGTGAGTCCATGAACGTACGTGAAAACATCTAAATTATGTTATTCCGTTCGACATTTTACCCCGCCACACCCACGGAATACTAGTATAACGAGGGAAAACAATGTTAAACGGATAAACGGCATTATAATAAACAACTTCGCCTATGCATTATCAAATAACTCACACCCAACCAAAGGCTGCAACTTCATTGGGACTGGGAGGTTAGGAATATTTTTCCCGAGAATTAGGGTAACGTAAACGTAACAAGAAGGGGTGGGAGGGATGCTAATGATTACAAGCGGTAGCTTGCCCCCTAAATAAATGGATAGAAAAGTTCTTAGAACATATATTGTCCCCATACGTTGAAATTTCGATAAACGATCCCTTTTTCGCTGTTATCAAACTTACCAACGAAACTAAACTTACGAACTTAAACTTACGATCATACTTAAATATATATGAATTGTTGAATATTTAAGTTATCTTATACTCAATGGGTATTACAATTTACTAGAAGTCATCTTTAAAGATTTGGCGTTTCTTTTGGTTCTACAATATTATTATTAACACAATACGTTTACATTAAAGGTAATGGGAAACACCGATCTTTATAGATTTTATCCTATAAAGTTTTAGACACAATGATAAGTACCTATATTCTTTATTACACACAAAACAAAAGCTACATAATTTACGTACGTACAACTAATTACCAGCTAATGTTACGTAGGTATGTATACAACATTAAAATGTATTAATTGTCATGTGCATTTCACAAGAAAAATTGTATTTACAAATTTTATCAACAAAAAAATATGATAAACGTGTAAGTTAAGCATGGCAACATCGCTAGAAGGCCTAGGGACTATCAAGGCGCTATATTAGCGCAATTTACCGCAGCTAACAACCCTCCACCTGCCAGTAAACTAATAACAGCTAGCCTATATCAATAAAAGCCATTAACATCGATCAGGGAGTATATCTGTCGTAGAACATTACCTCAAATTGTGTTAAACGCCTCGTAATAACACATTCGTGAGGTTCTCCGACAGCCGGAGTGTTGGGTTGTGGGTCCGGGAGCGACATGAAATCGTGCCGCTGGTACCGTAGATACGGCGGAGTAATACGATAATAACATCGGGAACGACATGTCTGATTGACTTGTTTGAAACATTTTCGATTTAATTTTGAACGCAATTTTCTTTGTTGAGACAAATACAGGTTTAAACACACGTTGCAACTTCATACTTAAAGTGCAATTATGTACCTATTAAAACAAGTCAAATTGTTAAACTTATCATAAGAGACTTAGCAATGCTTTTTCAATAATTATGGCATTAAATTCTTGTTGCGGCTGCCTATGTACTACGTCTCCATGCGTATTTCTACCCTATTTTGCATCACGCATAGCTAACAGAAACATTTAAGGTTTTGGCAAGTAAAGGTCTGTCCCTGTAACACGTTTATGGTTCTTTCTTAAATATTTGAGAATATTCTTTCCTGAAGTTTAACACTTTCACAGTCCTGATGCACGGTCACATCGTGTGCCATTCAGAAATAGGGGGTGAGCTTAAAGTTGCTGTTTTGCCGCCTCAAATCTAATCTGAACTAAACTGAAGCAGCTAATCTAATCTAAAGATAAAGGATTTCTCTAATAATTTAAACTTAACAATCTAATAATAATAGCATTTTAAAGTAGCAAAAGAAAGTTGGATGAATTAAAGTCCATTTTAACTTTTATACAGATCAGTCAATATATTATGTAAGTATAATAAAAAACGTGGAATGTATGAGTTTTGACACATACTTTCGCCGTGCTCTCGGAAAGATTTTGTCTTTCACTCCACCTCCACCATGAAAAAGAAAATGATAGGTACACGCCTAGCCAAAAGAAGCCTATTAACGAATAACATATAGATAGGTATGTAGGTACATAGTATGTACAAGTACATGTAAAGTGGCATCGAAAAGGAAATAGTAGCAAAACGCCTACGGAAATTAATGTTAAGTACCTAAAGGGGTTATATCTACTTGTAAGTCCGAAAAAACGTGTTTCTTTGTGATTTTTTTGTGAAGAGGCTTTTTATTAAATAAATACGTAGAATAAATGTACATATAACAAATTTAATGTATTTTAAGAATTTGCAATGTATATACAAAAACATTGGGTTCCGTTGTTCCTGTAGTAGATCTCCTAGAGGACCTCCACAAAAAGGTGTCTGGCGGTGAGGAAGATAGCTCTGATCCAAATTATCTGAAATAAAAAAAAACATAAGATTTAATTTTAGGATAGCCTCTTCACAAAAAAATCACAAAGAAACACGTTTTTTCGGACTTACAAGTAGATATAACCCCTAAAGGCAGATAGTACATATGCTATCAAATAAATCCATTATATCATCGAACCATATATGTAAATAGTTAATAACAATTACAACCAATCTTTAGAAATAAGATTATCATTATAATGGATAACCGATTGAAGCGGTCGTCTGTGTAATTATAATTAAACTCACATAATTGAACTATCCACACATTCCATTATAACCATGTCAATTCAAGAAATTATTGTAGTACAAACTTTTATACTACAAAGTAAAGTAAGTTGTTAGTACAAACTACATAGTACAAACTTTCTTGTAGTGATAATGTAAGCCCTTAATAAGTTGAACACAAAAAAAAACGAACTGTCAATTCCAACACTTCGTTTTTGTTTGACTCGTCAAAGTGTGGCATAAACTGGCTGCGAATGTTTTCAAAATTATATTGGCGGTAAGTGTTACAAAAGTTCATTGTATGAAGAATTAAATTAATACTCTTTACAATGAACACTGGAACGGTTAAATTTTACCCTTTACCTATTTGTTGTAATTGTGGGGAATTTAATCTGTACACTATTTCACAGACTTAACAAAACTAATACCTACATGTAATTACATTCGTATACCTATTTTCAAATTTCAGTATCATGAGTACCTCTTATTTCCCTCCCTAGCGTTGGTCAGTATCACCCTTATCTATCGTCTCTTTCGCTCTAATTGGTTCCTTGAGCCTCTGAATCCAATTAGTGGTGAGCGGAAGCGGGGTACACTGAATTTATTATGCTGGTCTTGTTTAGTTTCTGGCCTTTTAATTGAAACGTAGTGCGTAAACTGCTACCCGAATAATTAATATGGCTTTTATGTATTTTACTTAAGGAAGAACAGACACTGTAATTTTAGACTTGATATAATAGGCCAAAAAATGTATTAAATGCAGCATAGGTATGTTTCAGTTACGTTTCATGAAATGTAAAAACGATTAAAAGCATTATCTAGGAATTTCGCGTATAAGAAAATTAATTGGTAACTATAAAACAAACTTTATTGCCACACGCCTTGTAAAAAAATATTAAAATATCAAACAATTCATTCTTCACAAAATAACAATCTTTGTTATTTTTGTGAAGAATGCATTGCAATACTGCTAGTGCCATCTATTAGTCAATAGTAACAAATGTCCATTTAGAATTTAGTGCCATCTGATGGTGAATAGAAAAACGATTGAAAAAGTTGAGCATACATTTATGATTACTAACAAAAGATGGCACTTTTTTCTTTAAAACGTAGCGCAATAGTTCGATTTTAATGTTTATTTTACAGTTTCATTCACTCTTTTACTTAGTCTATATTTTCAAATTACAAAATGCTTGACAATTTGTTTTGCCTGTCAGAATGTCAGATAGTGTGAAAATGTGAATAGAGTTTGTATTCAAGACAAAGTTTCAACATAACTATAAAAATATAATTAAAATATATATATAAAACTAAATGAGAACCCTTGTTGAAATATTTTAAACCTTAATTAGTGTTAGTGTAAGCTGTGGGCAACATCAAACTTCGAAAATGTTAGTTTTACAAATATGCCTTTCTAAAATAAATGTTTCACTTTTAATTTACGATATATGATTTTATGTTACGTTTGTTTTAGGAGTTTTGTGGATCTTGCAACGCTGACTTTGCATCGGCGAAATGAACTGGAGGCTAGATTAAACATATTTTACGAAAAATGTGATCGCGCCGTTGACGACATAAAAAAGTTGCAAAAGAAGGTAAGTGGCTAAATAAATTGACGGGTCACTGTTTTATATAATTTAGAAACTGCGATATTTATCATCGTCGTGCTTGCGCTGCTACTACATAGAGTAGCGCATACTAATTTTAAAACTCCTAAGTACCGCAATGTAATTTGTTTTGAATTTGGGTTTAAAGTGCCCTATTTTGTTAGTTTTACACAAGACTATTGTTATATATTTAACATAGAATTCCTTTTGTTTATTGCGCAATGGAATGTTTCTTGATGACCAACTTAATAGTATGTTAGTAAATTATTTATTTTAGGAGTTTTTAACTTTCCATTAGTGGGATATCTACTATAACATTTCAACCTGCTCAACTATTAGTTTAATCACCTCATATTCATCACCATATAGCTAGACAACTTATCATGTAAATTGTAAGATGAGGCCTATGCTCAAATGCAAGGCGATACTTAGTCCATTCCATGGCTGAAAGGAATGGTTGTGAAATATTGAAAATAATACTTAAAATTTTGTCCAAACTAGTTTCCCATGGTATTAGATCTTTTTCTATTCATACTTTTATTTTAAAAGAAAGCCATCATTATCATCCAAGCGTTAATCCCGGTTGCATCCAATCTAGTCCATTTCAAATAAAATTACACTGAAATTTTTTACACGTCTAACAATATGTACATTTATTCTTGACTAGCTGCTTTTTGTGATGTTACCTACAGTTTACAATTCCTTGCTGATCCCACAGGAACACTATGTTTTGTTTTCTTCATAAGTGCCCTCTTACCTTATTACCAAATCAATCAACATAAAATTTTGCATTAGATTTTGTAATAGAAACTAAATAAAAAGTAGCCTATATTTTAATCTAAGGTGTCAGCTACCTCCATACCAAATTTTATGAAAATTGGTTCAGCCGTTTGAGTGTGAAGAAGTAACAAATATAAATACACCCACAATACAATTTTTTTTTTACAATTTCTATAACATGAGTTTGATTTCTTAAATTCTAATCTTGAGAAACTATTGGTCTGCCATATGACCTTACATACCCTAAAACAAAAATAGCGACAAAAAGTAGCCCCTTTTTAAGATCCTGTCTATCTGTAAACAAATGGACTTCTCATACTTTTTTTTATGACTATTATTATTAATTTATCGTCTATGTAGGTACTTTTAAAGAGCACTATTAAGTGCTATTTTTAATATTTGTTAATGTTTAGTTCATAGTTTCCTTTCATTGTACATATGCACCTACCATGTCCCTTACTGAACCATCTAAAGGTTGACTGGTAGATAATGCCATATGGCATTAAGTCCGCCTCATGCCAAATGTAATAAGGAAAGTGCAGATACATCTTCACTACAAGTAAAAGTAAACTTTATAGAGAAATCTCATCATTCAGTAATGTCTAGTCATGTACATTTACAAGTAACAAGAAACCATATATATAATTGCCCAGTTTATAGTTTTCAGTATAACCTGGCTAAATGACCCTGTGATGAATTTGTTTAAATTTGGAACTTAGATTTGAGTGGATTTGATTTTGTGGTTTCCAACTTACATTTTGTAGTCTTGTAATCTTATTTTGTTGCTCGTGGTGGTCAGATTTTTATTAAGCTTGTGATTAATGTTTTAGTTAATTGAGAATTTGAACTGACTTAATACAGTTAAACTCGGTTGACCTGTAAATATCTAGCTCACACTGATTATTAGAGGTTTAAGGTATCAACAACTATATTGACTAATTGTAGATTGGTAGAAATCATGCACTTTCGAGAACTTTCCAATTTTATCAGCAAACCAAATCTATGAGAGAGATAAAGAGATATACACAAAGAAACAAAAAGTGTAGGATATTTCAATAAAAATAATGACACTGCATTATAATTACACAATATATATTTAGTAATATATAAATACTAGTTGACCCTTGCAACATTCTTCATTGATGCTCGGTTATTATTGGTCGTAGCTTGATGTTTTATAGCCTATTTACTTCCTCAATAAATAGGCTATCCTACACTAAAATATTCTTTTTTTAATTTTTAAAACTTTCCGCAAACCCTATACCAACCCTAATTCTAAGAAGAGGCCTATGTCCACCAGTGGACTATTAAAGGCTGTTGATGGTTAAGAAATATTTGAGTGTGTTTATCAGTAGTCATGTAGTTACAGTGTCAGGATTCTGTTTGACTCCGTCAAACATTTCGCTACGGAATGAGTCGCCGACGGAATGTTTCGTTTATGAGTTGTTCAACGACAGAACCTTACAAATACGAACGATTCGCCGACAAAAACGTTTTATATAAGACCTAATCAACGACAGAACCGTTCCATTACGAACGTTTCGCCGCCATAATCATTCATTAATGATTGACTCGACGACAGAATCTTACTACTACTCGCTACTACTAGGACACATTATTATTTAAATGAGAAACGTACGCCCAGACATTTAAGAAGGTTTTATATGTCCACCGAATTTGAAGAGTCGCAACACTACGGTAAATTTACACTATATTTATGCTTAAAAACAGTAAAACCTTACAGATTATTCTTTAAAAACACTATACACAACCCTTAGCCCCTCGCAAATCGGGTACTAGTAGCGGAAAAACACAAAAACAATACTTAAATTGTTAGCATACGAATGAACACGTGAACCGTACAGTGCCGAGAAGTGTGATAATGTGTCCTATGAACTTTAGAATTGTTTTTGTTACTCATAGTTGCTTTGTTGTGTTTTTGTTTTGGTAAAAACCATGTTCTGTGGGTAATTGGTAACAATAAGTTATTTTCATTTGCAAATATTTTTCATTGAACTTTTAGATTTAGTCACTAGTAGTGACAAACAATGCATAAATACGCTTTATCCTTGAATCTTTTTTTGGTTTAAGATTCTGTCGTCGATTCACTCATTAATGAATCATTTTGTCGGCGAAACGTTCGTACCGGAGAGGTTCTGTGCTTGATGAGGTCTTATATAAAAAGTTTTGTCGGCGAATCGTTCATATTTGAAAGGTTCTGCCGTTGAACAACTCATAAACGAAACATGTTTGTCGCAGTTTAATTTCAGAATCCAGTCTCAGCCTAGTTTCGGATCACACTGCCGTGTGTGAGATGTGTAAAGTTACTATTATTAACATAGGTAACATCATACATTTTTTATTATGCATTTTAATATTTAAATTTAGAAACACAGTTAGGTTCTCAAGCAAATGTTAAAAAGGTGACTAGAAAAAGTATAAGCACGGGATTATTTCCATTTAAAGTAGTGGCGTCTGATTGCAGGACTGACATACTAGTGGAGAATCCTGGCCCCTTCTCAGTCCTGTTACATATAGTATACTAGCTGACCCGCGCAACTTCGTCTGCGTCTCTCAATAGTAATAAATTTTCTCCGTTTTTGAAACATTCTTCATTGGTGCTCCGCTCCTATTGGTCTTAGCGTGATGATATATAGCCTATAGCCTTCCTCGATAAATGGGCTATCTAACACTGATTGAATTTTTCAAATCGGACCAGTAGTTCCTGAGATTAGCGCGTTCAAACAAACAAACAAACAAGCAAACTCTTCAGCTTTATAATATTAATAATTATAATATTACTATTAGTATAGATGGTCTTCTCCCCGGCCATTTGTGTTTTCTTTACTCCAATATTACTTTTTACGTCTAAAATGTATATCGGAAACCAAGGAAAAGTTGGCGCCGTGCAACCACTGGCCAAAAAAACCATCCAAAACTACAAGAGGCAGGAAAATCATGATATGAGGTGGTAGCCGCCAGCAGGAGAGTCGTGAGAAGTGGCTAAGCTTACCAACGTGCAAGTAATACTGCCGTTGTTACGGATTCTAATAGGCGAAACTAACGTTTTTCTGTCGGAACATGTTGACACCAAAATGCTTTAGATTATATTTGTCATAAAAAAAACATTCCGAGATACAACATGAAACATACTGTTACAATTCTGAAAGTAATTTGTCTCGAAATAATTCAATAGTGTGTGACCCTGCTCCTTTTCACATGCGCTGACATACCTAGGTATGACGTTTTGTTGAGCAAGCTGGCTTGTCATAGCCAAAGAGTACCACCGCAGCAACTCTTTAAGCACATTACCACACATCTTTTTTTCTTATTTTACATTTTCCGTCTGTCTATTGACCTGGATTTGCATTATAAACCAACTTATACCCGCAACTTCGCTCGCATTTATCAACAGCTTGCATAAATCTGTTGACGGGCCAGTTAGTATAGTCGGGTAAGTGACCCTGACTGCTAAGTCGAAGGTCGTGGGTTCAATTCCCTTCCAGGACAAACAATTGTGTGATGAGAACGATCATTTGCTCTGTGTCTAGTTATAATTTATATATAATATGTATATATTTAGAAATATACAAGTATGTTTATCAGCAGTCTGGTCACCATAGCATAGGCCCTGCCTGGTTTGGGTTCAGACGACCGTGTATGGAATTTATGTAGTTATTATTTTTATTTCGTCAAGCCCTGAAATGGGTAAAATTATTATTATCTATTCGCATATATTTTGGAAAAGTAAAACTATTACCCTTTTAGTTTCCGTGGCAACCTCTACATGTTACTTAGTTGAATATTTTAGGCGAGAGGGCGCTCAAGTTTAAGTAAAGATTAAGGTCAGAGAAAATAGATCTGATTTGTTAATAATGAAGACTGAATTCGGCCACACGAATTCTTGTACTTCGTAATAGTGATTAGGAAGGAACATTAAATTCTTACGTAGGTATATTTATATTTGCGATGTTCAGGGTCAGATGTGAGCTGGCCGGAAAGTTTGTGTATTTTGCTTTTATTATTTATTTTAATTTGGGTCAATACTTCAATATAAAGCTATTCTTAGTTAATTCTTTTCCGTTTTATTTTATTTCTTTCTTTGTTACAAAAATGGGCTTTTACTAAAGCATAAATGCTTTAGTAACTCATATATTAACTTAAATCTCTTTTAATTAATTATAAACCTGACGTAAAAAGTGTAATCAGTGTCAATTTTATGTTTTTTTTATGTGAAAGGAAACTTGGAGTGTTGTCTAGTATAATTTAAGAAAATCTATGTATTTTTTTTAAAGCCTTAATTCCTTGACGGGTCACGCTATTCACATATCATAGTACTATTTATATTTTATATTAAAAATTAGTACACAACCGTGTAATACAAATTAAGTTTTAACAATAAAGCAAAGATCCCATTCACATATAATTGCAAAATTTATTTTTGATGTGAAACATTTAATGCCACGCCAAGGCATGCGTCATAGTATATGCCATGCGCCATGCGCGCGAGAGACTCTGCGACTGTCCCTACTGGGCTCAGCGATCCCCCTTCTCTATGTTATTTACTACAGTATTGTATTTATTATACTCATTATCTCTACGAAATAATATCTGTTTTACATTTCCCATATGTGTCATAATTTTTTACATATTTATTTATACAAAAAGGTACACATATTTAATGTATTTTAAAACCATCTTACAATCTATTAACTATCTATCTTTTAGCAAAAGATTCTTAGACATTTACGCTCATTAAGACTTACAGGGTAAGTAATAATTATATCTTCATGTCTTTTCTTTATTTTCTGTTTCCCAGACCCAAGGCTTTGTCCTGCAGCTAAATTGTGAGCCATCGGAACTCAAGGAGCGCTTCCTCTCCTGCATGAAGCAACTTGACGAATATATGTACTTGATTACTGACTTTAACCTCGCTATATCTAAGATTGGTAAGTTTTGTTCAATACAAGGTCTGCTACGTTTTATACAAAGCTAATTATTTATTAGTACTATTTTTGGAGCATTAAAATTCAAAGATATCATGTTATGTTATCCGGATACAATACGAAGAGATTGCATATTTTTAATTTATTTATTTAATTTTAACTGACTAAATCGGTTGAAAATCGCTGGACGTTAAGTTTATCTGTTTTGTCTTTAGCTTTTGTGTGTGATGTGATGTTTCGCGTTTAACCTCAATTTACAAAAGCTTTCTTTCAGAAATTCGAATGTAATATTGATTTAATCTTTTCCAACTTACACATTACAAAATCGAATCAGCCAATGAGGGGTTTACAGTAGTATTGTTAATATTTAAACTTCTTACAGATGAAACTGGACAAATCGAATATACGCCAGTTCATGACACACCCGTTCCTATGCTACCGTCGATAGTCCCGGAGCCGTTCAACCTAATAGACGCTCTCAGCGAACCAGCACCGTCAACATCTACCGCCTGTCCCAACCACTGCCCCCCGGAGAAGCCTAAAAGAGTGAAGCTTCCGAAACAAGACCAGTCTTTGATTATTTTCTCTAGTACAAGCTCTTCAGAGGAAACGGTGCCGCAAGTAAAGAGTGAAGTAGCTGCAAAAGAGGTGCAATGTGAATTGGGAGAAGAACTTAGGCGTACCAAAATTGAAGGTAATATTAACATCATCATCATCAATAGTCTTTAATAGTTCACTGCTGGACATAGGCTGCTCTCCTTAGAAAGGAGGTTTTGGCCTACTATACCACGCTTGCCAGACGGCTTGGTATAGGGTTTGTGTCAAGTTTTCCTTCTTTTTGCAGTGCTGTTGTCCTGCGTAGTTTGCTCTCTTAGTCGCTCTTACGACACCCACGGGATGAATTGGGGTGGTGACACTCCGTATTCTTAATCCGTCTGTTAAACATAAGCAGTCAAATGCCACTTAGTTCCAACCCATCACGATAAAGCAGTAAAATTAATTAGGCTGTTGTTTTTTTTAGATTCACCTGCGCCCTTGTCCGGGGAGGGCAGCAATCTGCCAGCTCAGTCAGTTCTGGAGACTGACCAGGCATATTTAGCTACCATTATGCATATCGACGGAGCATTTTTCTGGGTCATCACCGATGATCCTCAAGAAGTGCAAAAGTATGTATATAAGTAAAATATCTGAAAATTACTCCTTTTGAAAATCTTAGCAGTTCGATAAAACTTTTGTCATTCAAAAAATCATGTGTCTAGTCGTATCGAGTTTTTCCTTCGGTAAATCTTCAGTAACAGCCTCGAGATCGCTTATGATCTATTAAAAAGTCTCTACTCTCCGGGAAATTTATTTATTATGGTGTGAGTTCTGACCTACGTTCATGTGTGAATGTCTCATGGTGTTGTGGGCAATACGTGGGTTACAAATGGCGGCTTATCGACGTTGTAGTTTATACCGACTTTAAATTTAAATAATAATTAAATTTAACTTTACACCGCGTATTTAAGTTTTTAACTGTTGCGAACTTGTAACCGCCACTGCGTGTTGGTGTAAATTAAACCCTATCTTCTTACAGCCTAATGATGGATATGACAAAGTTCTACACTGAGAACCATAGGCCAATTAGTTCAAAAGAGGTGAAGACACTAACGTGCTGCGCCTTCTACGACGAAGAAAGTGAATGTTTTTATAGAGGACTGTTCCTAAAACTGAGTGAGGTAAATATACTGTTACAATTTATTGATTTTTATTTGTAAAAGATTCAATTTAAGCTATTTAAAGCTACTCTGTTTAAAATGCTGTTACAAAAAGCGTTGAGTGGAAATTTCCTTTATGTGCAAATCATGCACCAGATGCTAAAAACCCGCGTGAGAAAAAAAAACATGACGGGATTGGTTAGCCTAAGGCATGAACGCTATCATCGTACTGAAACATTAAAATTGATAAAAAAGTTAAACAATAAAAAAGTTTAGAACCTTTCTACAAAATTACGAACATTAATTATATTCCTAATCACACATTGCAGACTTCTTGCATAATTTAAGATATAAAAAAAAACACTGTGGCAAAGTATAATAATATTATATTTAGAATTTTTAATAACAATACTTAACATTTATATACAGTTTATAACACACACAGACACAATATCTTAATTGACGTCAAATATTTATTAAAGGATGTAGTTTATAAAGTATTATGTAATTCAGGGTGACGGTACCATGGCGGAGATGTACGTAGTAGATACGGGCGAGATGCGCTCTGCACCTATAGATTGCGTACAACCGCTGTATCCACGCTTCTGTGTGAAACCGCCCTATGCTCGCTGTTGCCATCTAGCAGGGGTAAGTTGTACTATTTCATTACATAAAAGATTATAAAATAAATAGCTTATGTAAACTTGTTATGTCACAGGCACTCTATTGCTCATTTTATAAATAGAAATATTTTTTTTTTGTATGTACTACTTATACTTATTATATTGTAAACAGGTGGATCCAATGAGCTACCACAACAAAGACCTTATGGAGAAACAAGAAGAATTTATGAGACGATTCGTGGGCACGCAATGTACGATTGAAATCGATGACAAGTTAGTATTAGAGCATATCTGTTTAAACAAGAAATCACTATCCTGTGAATTATTTTATTAAGTTGTTTGTCTTAGATTATTAACAAACGCAGTAATGGAATATTGCTATTGATATGTGCATATAAAAATATAATTGGACCAAGAATTGCACCCTGTGGCACACTGTAATAAAAGATGACCCAAGACACCATTTGCAGTTCAAGTCAATATAATTATTATACATATCGCTAATATGGGCAGCAATTAGGCAACTGCAGTCTATAATGCATTAACACCTAAGTTTTTATTACAATATAATTTAGTTCAACAGAATCATAGCCCTTAGAGAAATCGACAAGTCGCAGGCCACTTATCACACGATTTTTATTTTCAGTCATGCTGTAGACATGTTTTCGTATAAGCTGAAATGAAAAACTACTACATTAGCTAATAACGTGTAACCAGTACAAACTGTTCTTATTTTTATGTTCACAGTACTTCGGAATCGTTGGGTGTGTATGTAGTACTTCAATCCGGTGAGACACTCAACAATATAATTGTGGAGCAAAAATTAGTTCTACCTAGTAAGTACAGTCGTTTTATTGTTCACATCAGATCATCAACTGCCTATAATAGTCCACTGCCGGACATAGGCCTCTCCATAAAAGGATGTTTTAGCCTACTCTACCACGCTGGCCAGCAGGTGTGTTATATGGTTTGTTTCAAGTTTTCCTTCTCTTTATTGTTACTGTTTATTGTTCTTCTACTGTGTGTTGTTCTGTTTATTGTTACTCTTTTTCAAATTAAAACAGCAACATCTGCATGATTCTCATGTATAAACTTACGGTATTGTGTTTTTTGAATAAATAGATTATTTTGTTCAAACTTCGGGACTTGTGAAATACTGAAAACAGGTTATTGATATACAAATTTTGACAATTTACTTTATTACATTGGAAATGTGTCTAAATTATCATCTAAATTATTTCACAATAACAAACAGACTAGCATTGACAAGTTTAATAGTAACTGTGCCTTAACTGTGTCACAGTGCGTGTGCAGATATTATTCAAATTCAAATCATTTATTTCGGACAAAATTCATCCATATAGTGTTAGTATAAAATACCAAATATATTTATTTTTGTGTGTGAATCGAAATGTACTTCTTCATTTATTACATTAAATTACATTTCAAATTATTCGTAAACAAAAATAATATATTAAAAGTGACACCTTCTTTTACTTTTTTATTTGTAAATATTACTATTATTGACTTGTAGGCTTCTCTTTCTAACCATTTCCTAAATATCACTAAATACTATCTCATAAACATCTTTTATTTAAAAGGCCCAAAAAATACCATGTAATCTAAGCAGATATTGTTGTTTGACAGTTGACAAGCTGTCGGAGTCCCACAGTCCAGAGCCGCAACACGCTCGCGGAAGGTGCGCCCCGCCCCCTCCGTACGACAGCGATCATGAACAGTGTCCCGAGTATGACGACCCCGTAGAAGCAGTCACGGTATGTTTACGATACTCTTACGATACCATTGAAAACATAATTATGTTTACGGGAATTAACGCGCTCATCATCTGTGACGACGGTCAGTGTAATTTGGTCGAAATGTCAGGCAATTCAAATTCCTTTAAATTAATTATTGTCACCACCAATTCTCTTCCACGGACCTAATTTATTTAGGAGCCGCTTTTTTTTGTACGTATTTACGTAGTTATCGCGATCTCTGCCTGATGCTTTTAATTTAATTGTTTAGAACGTGATTACTTATAAGTCTTCTAAGATAATACGCCCTGCCTCCGTCCCCTGATACTACCACTGATAATGTCATGTGACGCAAAGTGACATCCGTCTCTACTATATTAACACAACGCCATCTAGTCAAATGCCGTCTTAGGCACACAAGAATTTGGGGACCTGTTGGACTTCATCATCAGCCTTTAATAGTCCACTGATGAACATAGGCCTCTCCTTAGAAAGGAGGTTTTGGCCTACTACTTTTGGTCTTACTGTCCAGAAAATGAATGAATGAATGACTGACCTTAACAGAATGAATAGATAGGTACATATAGGTATAACAGATATAAATAAAATTAGAAAAGCATACTTGAATAGATGGTTTGAAGCGGTTACGATTACGACAATGATTTCTTTCGAGATATCTGTTGTGCAAAATCTGAAACTTTTCACTGGAGGATATCAAAATTGAAAAAAAAAAAAAAAAAAATTGCTAATTAATGATTACCAATTGTAGAGAAGAGCTTAGTACGCGTAGAACCAATAGTAGCTACAATTAGTAAAATGGTTTCATGATTTATTACTAGTATATCCCCACTTCTCAGGTGTGCCTAGATCGAAGCCTACATGCGCCAACTTAAAAAAACTTGCTTTTTAAGCTGTAATTATATTAATACACAGAGTTACTAAAAATAAAAAATAAACAGGCTATTAGTAAGGCGATTTTATAATCCAAAAAGTTTAGATGGTGGTGAAACAGGGAACTAACCATTTTGTATCACGTTCCGCAATGTCATTGGCTTGTCATCGTTGAGGGTTGCACAAAGTCGCGGATTAAGACCCCATTATGTTTTTTTGTTGTCAGTTTATTTTGATCTAACGTAGAAAAAAAAAAGTATAGTAATAATCTTCTTTTTCGGGCCCCCCGTGACTATGGGGGCCCTGGGCATGGGCCCTGTGTACCCTTATGGTAAAGACGGTACTGACTTTAAATACATAAATACTTTTTTTGTGAATTCATACATTATTATTATACATAGAAACACCGAGACCAAACCAAACATTAAATAAGGACATTAACAGCACTTTTACTTTAGATTTCTTTTGTTAAAACTAACATACTATTATTTATCTGATAGTATGATTGTTTACTATGTGATTTAGCATATAAAGCCTTTTATATGATTTTTTTTATTGAAATCGTCTCGTTATGTCCAGGGATACAGAAGCCGTGATGAGGCAGACATCTGCAAACACTACAAAGGAGGCCCAGAGAAGACATGTTTCAAAGGGACCCGTTGCACCAAGAAACACATTCTTAAGCATCCTGGTAAGTCTGCTTGGCACAAATGGGCCGGCTCGACCCGAGTGATACCACGGCCTCTCAGAAAACCGGTGTTAATCAATCCTTTCACTGAGTGAGTGAGTACCTATACCGGATTAACCCCCCACCCCCCCCCCCCCCCTTCTCTACCCCTGTTTCTGGGAGGAGGACTCAAAAGGCGGCAAGGCATTTGTGGCTCTCGAGTCACAGGCGTCCAAAGATAGCGGCATTTACTATCAGGTGACCCGTTTGTTCGTTTGCTCCCCCCCTCCTCCCCTCCTCCCTCCCCCAACACTATAAACAAAAGTAAATCTAAATATATGATAATTATATCTACAGGAATAAATGGTTCTTGTGTTGTTTAGTCAGTTCTTGAACAATCTAGAGTCGTATGGAATTGGGAGGACAACACCATCTAGTAGATTATGATTTATAATTCCGATACTTGCAGCGCCATCTAGTGTCGAATACCGGAAGATTATTTATTTAAAACTTAATGCAAAGTCAACCTCCCAGTCAACCTTCAGTTGATCTAGAAATATAGTGAGGCAGGTGCAAAATAAAATATTAAATTTAACATTATTGACACATACATACATAAACCTATTTTTTTTTCCAAACAAACAAAACAAACCCAAGTTTAATTAAATATATAAATAATCAGTCGGGAACTAGCGTTGTGACTGTTCTTTTCTCTTGAATGCAAGGCGGTTTGTGGCACCCTGATTTTGGCAGGGAGGGCAGGGAGGAGTAGTTGATGAAGTTCGAGGTGTGAGGGAATTTATTTTTCTTCCAGATGGCTGGACACTGGATCGTGTCGAAGTAGTCGGGAAGTGCAAGTCGGTACCGTTACCAGCGCCCGGCACTTGGCACAAAGTTTTAGTCACTTATGTGTGCCACTTCGATCGGGTCTACGTACATATGATAAAGGAAAAAGAAAAAGGTAACAGTATAATTCTATCCTTTCCTCACCTCACTTGCACAGGGTAAACGAAATACTCGAAGGCCTAGTGTGAACTCTCGACGGCAACCCCGTGCGGCATTGCGATTGGCCCGCACCACACTTCACCAATCGCACCGTCAACATGACGCTCGAGTCTATTAACTCACTAAAAACAAAATTAAATAAACTCACACTAGGCCTTCTGGTCAGGTTTTACATGTGTGTGTTGTACCACTAAGTAAATTATTTCACGTTTACATGTGTGTGAATTGTACCCCATTAAATCAATCAATCTTTTATACCACCACTTCAGCATCACAGCTTTCTACTACTAAACTAGAATAGAATAATCGACGACCGGATGGCGTAGTGGTTTGTGTAACGGACTGCTATTCCAAAGGTCGCGGGTTCGATTCCCGCTCAAGTCAAACATTTGTGTGCATGAACATTTGATGTTTGATTTGGTCTGGGTGTTTCTATGTATAATATGTATGTATTTACAAAAAAAAAGTATATATGTATTATATTAATCTTTATTGTACGCCAATTCAGGATATTATACATACAATAGTATTCCAAGTTAATGACCATGTACAAATGGCAACTATTTCATTTTCTTTATTGATATTTGCAGAAGATCCGCCACCACGTTTCGGATTAGTTTTGCCGCCTGCGTCGCTGACCGCGCTTGTACAAGACATGAACAGTGCCGCGGCCCGAGTCGCCTACAAACCACTTACGGTAATTAATTGCTACTGAAAAATTAACCCTCTATTAGGGTTGCAATAGTCATTGGGATACCAGGGATTTCCTTTCTAGGTACCACCTGGTTCCCTAGCTACTGGTACCCTAAATGGCGTGCGGTTTTAGTCGGTTCGAGTCCGACATGCCACCGACAGGTGGTATCCGAGGGGATTTCCGCACGAAAAAAAAAAAAAAAGTATTTGAAATGTCAAAACAATAGGTTTTTTTTTGCTCACAAAGTTATTTGCACAATACCTATGCCTTAAAATCAGGTTTAATATTTTTTATCTGTCTGTTTTTTTCCGGGTAATCTTCAAAACGACTGTACCGATTTTCAGAAAATCCCTATAAAATTTTGGCTGGTTCGGAATCCAACCCGAAGCCTCATGGACTGCAGTGGCGTACCGTACGGGTACCAGCTAGTTATATAAGAAATTTCCCTAAAACATTTTTCTGCTGTTCTCCCCAGTTTCAACTGCATATGGTCACTGCTTCTTTCCTAAGAACTGTAGCGTGACCTTCCTCAGCAAATATTCTATCCAATACAAAAATATTTTAAAATCTTACTCATAATTTCAGAGATTGACGTATCTAAACAGTCAAATAAATCAAGCAAAAAAAACCTTATTTATTAAGTTGAAAATAAGCCTACTCTAAGATCAGTAAATCATTTGTTTCAAATGTCTCATCATCAACAGCCTATAACAGTCCACTGCTGGACATAGACCTCTCCTTAGAAAGGAGGTTTTGGCATACTATACCATGCTGTCCAGACGGTTCAAATGTCTCATCACACTTATATCAGACCAGCTATTGATTATTAAGTGATTATTTCTTATATCATGTTTCTTAATACGAAAAATAAGATCTTCTAATCAACAATTCATACCTTATTTACCCCCTTGGGAATAACATTTCCAATAATGCTTTCCTACGAGGTGCTTACAACATAGAAAACATTAGCCAGCAATTTAGGCTCTATGTTGATGGATCAGTCAGCCAAAGCAAGCAATTTTATATGTAGTTACACTTAGGAATAATTGTATTTTTATTATTCATTTAGATAACACCAGCATTGGGAGAGTTGGTTGCAGCCGTATACCCACCGGACGGTAACTGGTATCGAGCCAGGGTTATGACTGTCACAAGAGCTGACCAGAGCGTTGAGGTAATATAACAAAATAATGTGCTCAAAATTCGCTGCTTTAAAATTGTGACACCACTCAGTAACTTAAAACTAAGTACCTCGCCAATTACCAGCGTGGCATGTTGTTCTACTTCCGTAGAGAAAAATTATAAACACAACTAACGGAGATTTAGATTCTGACCATACTATATAATTATTTACTGACTAGCTTGTTGGTCCAGTGGTTAGTGTCCCTGACTGCTAAACCAGAACACAAAAATGTGTGATGAGCACGCTCATTTGTTCTGTGTCTGGGAACAGGAACAGAAGGAATCGCACAGTACTTTTCAAGTAATTTATTTAAATATCATGTTATTAATGTTTTTTTTAAACTTTATTACAGTAGAACTCCAATTATCCGAACTCCGACTATCCGAATCGCCGATTATCCGAATCACAAAAAAATTGTCCAAAAAAAGTCTAAGTGCGCTATTATTCTTCCCCCCGCGAAGCCAGTGTTTGCAGCTTTGTTTACCGAATGGTATGATGAAGTGTTTATTCCTGAAGTGAAAAAGCACCAAAAATCGGTGGGAAAAGAAGGCAGTAAGGTGCTTTTAATTGTTGATAACGCACCCACTCATCCTACAGCAGAACTGTTGGAAAGAGAGAATGGGCAGTTTAAAACGACGTTTTTGCCTCCCAATGTTACAAGTTTGCTGCAACCCATGGACCAGTCTGTTATTGAAACAATGAAGCGCCATTACAGAAGGCAACTGCTGAGAAAACTGCTGATCGAAGGTGCTGAAGATGAAGAATTGGTTTTGGCAAATCATAGCAAAATAAATTTAAAGGACTGCTGTTACATGGTAGCGGAAGCTTGGAGTTTGGTTACGGCAGTGACGCTAAGACGTGCGTGGAATAAACTGAAAGGCCTACCTTCTGAGAAGAACAAAAAAAAAGAATCTGAAGAAAATGTGAAACAAGAATATGGAGAGGATGATGATGATAAAGATGCGTTGTCACTAGAGGAAATATGAAAAATGATTGTAAAAATTTCTGGTTGTACAGAAGTAAGTGCTGAAGATGTAGGAGAGTGGATGGCTTGTGACACGTCTGACCCTGGTTTTCAAATTCTCAATGACGATGAAATTGTTGTAAGTGTGAGAGAAGATGTTGAAGTGGAAGTGGAAGAAGAACTTTCTGCTGATGTTGAAGTAGACGCTGGACCATCAGCTAGTGAAGCATTTGCCGGCCTCGAGACTGCTTTGAAGTGGATGGAGCGTCAGCCCGAGTGTGACCACTTGCAACTGCTCACCGTCAAGCGAATGCGTGACCTGGCTGCCCGAAAACGGTTGAAGACCGCAAAACAGCTTACATTGACGGAGATGTTTAAAAAACAATGATTTTTATTTCTAAACTTGTACATAAGTACATTTTATTTATATTTAAAACATGTGAAAATTTCATGTTTCTTTCATTTAATTCAATAAAAAAATAGTGCAATATCAAAACGTAGCTTTTATTCTCTCCAATGGCAATGTTTTTTAAAAAAATCCGATTATCCGAATATTTGATTATCCGAATGGGTCCCGGTCCCCATTAATTCGGATAATTGGAGTTCTACTGTACTTCAAATTGCATATACGAGTACACGTTTCGACACGAGTTGTCTGTTACTAAACATAACACAAATATAAATATTTTATTGATCGATGTTATACCGTTAGGTATTACCGTTACATTTCTTATTGTTAGCACATTAATGGCAAACCCGTAAAAGAAAATCATATCACACAGTGTGATGTCACAAGTCATGAATTCACACTTTCTGTACCATGTATCGTTAGTAATGTAGATGGTCGGGTGTGTTGTGCAGGTGATGTACGTGGACTACGGCACGGTGCTGTGGGTGAAGGAGGACCAGCTGCGCGCGCTGGAGCCGCGCCACGCGGCGCTGCCGGCGCAGGCCGTGCGCTGCGTGCTGGCCGGCGTGGCCGCGCGCTCGCGACACTCGCAGCAGTGGGCGCAGGCCAAGCGCTCGCTCGCCGACCTCGTGCAGGACAAGACCCTCGACGCGCACGTCGTGTTAGTACACGCACATCTTAACACGTGCTCGGTGGTGCTGCGGGTTCGATTCCCGACTCGCACCGAATCTTTGTTTCGGAGTCTGGGTGTTTTATATATGTATAATATGTATGTATTTACATTAAAATATATATACAATAAAATACAATAAAAATAGTATATAAGTATTCTATCAGTCAATCTGGCTTTCATAGTACAAACTCTGCTAAGTTTGGAACTAGATGGCGTTGTGTGTCAGATGTCCGAAAATATTATCATTATTATGATATCTAGTGACAGTGTGGTGACGAATTAAGACGAGGAGTGTCACCACCCCTATGCATCTCACGGGTGTCGTAAGACCCGACTGAGGCAGCAAAAAACGCAGGACACGGCACTGCAAAGAGAAGAAAAACTTGAAACAGACGCTACACCGACTAGTCTGGCAAGCGTTATATAGTAGGTCAATACCTCCTTTCCAAGGCGAGACCTATGTCCAGCAGTAGACTATTAAAGACTGTTGATGATGATGAATCACCTGATCTTAAAATAGGGTAATGAAGCCTAATAAAATCACTTTTACTGAAAACAGGCCAAACCTATTCCGTAATTAAGTGACATGCAACTCGTTCGGTTTCTGAACGCCCGCTTTTCACACGGTCATTTTTATAAATAAAATATAGTCACGACACCTTTGAACAATGCTTAATTCATGTTTCAGTGGCCGCGATTACGACGAGATATCAGTAGAGTTGTATGATGATGACGGCTACAGTATAGCGGAGCAGCTGGCAGCTATTAAGATGGTGGAACTTGTAGAGTATAGCGTGGTGGACGATACCTCCGTCACGCAGAAGGTCGTGGTACCTTAACGTTTTAGCAAAGACTGCAGGTAGCGTGAACCAGATCTAAACGTATCACTTCTCTCTATAGAACCGCAAGGTGGAATAATACTTATAAGAATTTATGTTTGTCACGTTACTTTTTTGCAGATTTCTATGTAATTAAATCAAAATACTAATATTCATCTCGTATATTTAATAAGTGGAAACATTCTCGCATAATCAGTAGAATATACTTTTGAGAATGAATATTATATACTTGTAGAGTTTAATGGTTTGTAATTTTATTAAAAAAATATAATGGTGCAATATATATATATAGAAAAGAGAAAACTGTTTTTTTGTGTCAAATACAATAATTTAGTCAGAGCAGAGAGAGCATACAGAAATCAATACCAGTAGAGTATAATCTTCGTTCTACCCTACTGGTATTGATTTCTTACATAAATCAGAACTTTATTTACATACACTTTAATGTATTATTCCATCTTTCAGCTTCATTAAAACCTAAGATTTATACAATATCATTATTATTATGTAATATTATAATATAATTAAAACATTTTATTTCATAGCATCATTGACAGCTACAATCTTCGATCTTAATAGGTTAAGGTTTTTAAAAAAACTGTTATGCTCAAATTTCATAGCTTATATACTCAGTTTTATACTATACTATGTAAACACAATTAAAGTAGCAGTCTTAAATATGTCTCAAAAGTTTGTGAAAGCATTTGTCACACAGTGAAGTCATTAATGTGATAGTTTTAAGAAATCCTATGAGCTTTGTATGTGATCTTGTATTAAATTCCATTAATGATAAGTAAACTTCTGACCTAGTTACTTTGGGCCACTGTCTTTAGACCTAGTATGGAGGTTTGACCGTCGAACATGCTGGGTTTTGAAATTTAGTACCACTAAAAAAAGTTTTGTTTATCTTATTATTCAGTAAGCATTATCTAACTGAATGTTATACTATGTTTCATATATAAGCTGGTATTTTATGTTTTATTTGTAACTTATAAAAATACTAAGCAAAACCAATGTTGCCCAAGTATAGAAATAAGCCTAACAATTCAAAAATTAAATTCAATTCTAAAAGACCGAGCTTTAATAGCAGTTTCGAAAAAACCACGACGAATCATGTTCGGGTCTAGATTACCCAAAAATAAATGAATTGTTTGATAAAATAGAAAATGATAATGTTTTCTAAATGTTTTGTTACATTTTAAAGATTTTAACTAGTCACACTTTTTAAACGAATCTTTATTATGCTTTGTTTATTTGTTTAGAAATATGGGTAAAATATTAAAACTCATTGTCGCAACCTATAAGTCCGACCACCACAATACTGTTAAAACGTGCTTTACTCTATACTGGGCCCCGCTTCACGGCTGACATGAGATTATGTATTAATAATAACCCGTGCGTACCCTTCACCTCTACTATAAACGGTCAGTCTTTGTAATCGATTCTACATGCACCAATGACATTTAGTTTTGAGTGATCGTTTCAACATTGAAACATTTTAATAGTGCTCGAACTGGTGTAGGTCTGATCACCAAGCGTTAGTGTTCCGAGTCTGGGTGTTCTTTATGTCCATGTATTTTATGTTTGTAAAGTCCCTAGCGACACAGGGTCCATTACCTAGAGCGGAATGGTCTTATAAAATAATTTCTACAGTCGCCGGCGCTAATTAGAGCACCATGACTATTGAAGTTATAAATGCGGTTCATATTAGAATGGGTCCCTTTACGCCATAGGCGTTGCAAACCGCGGCCCCGAATAATTGAAAAAATATTTTCTTCATTTGAATTAAATTTTTAGAAAAAAACATTTTAATCTAAATTAAAATACAAAAGGATTATTTTCGTTTTAAGAGATAGGTAGGATTTGTGGAATCTCAGTTCAAAGCTGAACCAGTCCGCCTAAAAATATTTCAAGTTTACAAAATAAAATATTTAAAATAACTTGTGTTATATTTCTTATTATGAGTAATTGTGCCCGGGCTCCATAAGGAGCACTTTTGGGCAATTTTCAATTTGTGCAATCGATCTTCGCTGCAGTACAATATTAAAGTCTTTGAAGTTTACTGAATTGTTAAGTTCGTGTTATATTTAGTTTGTCTTTTCCGGTCTAACAACTGCTTCTCAATTCAAAATGACTAATATCGTTCTGTCAATGAAGTTAATTGACTAGATTTGATAACGAGTTGAGTATGAGTTAAATTCCTCGCCCCAACTCAGTAAATCAGGCACAGTTTCCTACAGTGCAGAAAATTTCAAACACCAAGTGGGTTGTAGAGCGTACACGACAAAGAGATTGGTATAATACTGACAAGCAGTGTTGAGTGACCAATTCGACAAGTACATCGATGTACTAACTCGAATCTCCGACATCGTTCATCGATTTCGGTTCAGTTCGATACAAAATTATATAGTATAGCGATAAACTTAATATTCTTTATTTTATTACAGTAGTTTTTATAATATATATAGTTCCTGGTTCTTTATATAATTTATGCGCAAGACTACGAAATAAAGAAACATTAAGTTTAATGGCCCCGGTAATATTTCGTATTTGAAAAAATATATCCTACACGAAATTATACAATGTGGTAGACGCTTCTTATAATAAGATCTATCAAGTACAATGACACTACCACTACATACGGGGTGTAAGGAACGGCGCGGTCGCTTAACTATTAAAATATATAAACGACTTACGAAAAGTACAATCCATTTCATAAGGAAACTGCAAGATTAAGAATTTATATTTTTGTTTACTAACTACGTTTAACCAAAGAATTAAGGAATCTCTCCTTACACCCTGTATTTGGCTAACACTTATAAGTTTACAACCTATTATTATGTGATTGAATCGAAAGCAAGGGGGCACATTCCCATACACCTAAGTGATATTATTGTTAAGCTTAATCACTTATTTTAAGTTTGTTAGCTAAAGAAATTGCAATTACCTATTGTATTATTTTTGGTACCGAAATAAAAGCTTTTAAAAAGAACATCATTGATTTATTACAACCTTTTCCAAAACATAAAACCTATTAGTAATTCATAAAGGCCTCGATTCTAATCTACTTATATAAAATTCTTCTCGAGAAGTAACATACGTAACTATCCGGAAGTATTATATATTTATTAATCCCGCAGAAATAGGCTGAATTCATTATAACAAACATATAGCCATAATGAAGATAATTCTAATGTATTCAGCATATCTTAAGAGATTATTACGTTTTTAAAAATGTTGATACCTTGCTTATTTCTGAATGATGCCAATCTGCCCACTTCGAGACAGCTAGAGAGGAGGACCTCCAAAACTTAGAAAGCTTATACGGATGGAGGGGTGAATGTGTGCTCGAGCAGATCAGGGTCGCGTATCAGTAACTTGAAATGGTTGTTGCCAGACAATGCCCTCTAACCCTATACACGCACGTTACTCAAACACACACATCACAGACAGACACAGCCCATTGCTACTACTTATGTCTGTTGCTAATAATAATATTCACAAAGCTTGGAAGCTCTCCCTCATCCGCCATACTCACCAGACCTTGCACCTACCGACTATTACTTTTTCCAAAATTTAGACAACTTTTTAGTGGGTAAAAAATTCAATTCCCGAGAGGCAGTACAAAATGCCTTTGAAGAGTTTGTTGCCTCCCGTCCAGCTGATTTTTACAAGAAGGGCATCAATAAACTGCCAATGCGTTGGCAAAGATGCGTCGATTGCATGGGTGATTACTTCGAATAACAGAAATAAAAAAGTTTGAAAAAATAAGTACTTTCACTTATTGCATACAAAACGGCAATTTCATAGGTAAAGACCTAATATTTTTGGAAGAATAATAAGCTATTCAAGGAATAATAGGATATTCAAGACTGTACTTCGGTTTGGTCCGTCTTGTAATTACGAGGCATCTGAAAAATAATAATAATAAGATGAACGGGTAACCAACAAAAGGGAGGGGGCAATGCCGAACGTTCGACATTGCCCGACGTGAAGTGTTCGCCTTTAGCCCACTAAATCGAAATAAAATAAAATTAGGTCAGGTATATTTCTTTTCATCATCATGTCATTTAGCTGATTAATATGTGAGTATTCCACTACGTAAAAGTTAAATTACTATTGTAGATAGAAAAAAAGCAACAGCAACTTGAATTTGCAATAAAAATTTCATCAAAAACATGCAAAATATTGAAAAATGCATACCTTGACAAGTCCGTGCGTCGGCGTCTCCTGTGTTGTTAACTGGCACTAGTGGTGGCGTGATCTCCGAAATGGAGGCAAGTAAAATATCTCTTTCTAACACATTAGAACCCTAGGATTCGAGATTACCCCGCGTTCGCGTTTCCCCGTCCTCCCCTATATACTTTTTTTTAGTGATGGTCACACTTATAAGTTACTAGCTAACCCGCCCAACTTCGTCTGCGTCTCTCAACAGGAATATAAATCTTACCCTTTTTTGCCATATTTTTCATTAATACTTGGCTTCTATTGGTCTTAGCGTTATGTTATATAGCCTATACACTAAAAGATTTTTTCCTATTCAAAGCAGTAGTTCCTGAGATTCAACCAAACAAACAAACTCTTTAGCTTTATAATATTAGTATAGATTATTATGCCACCAATACTATATCAATAGTATAGTAATAGGAAAATAAAAACATTGTATAATAATTAAGAATTTATTCATCTCCACGAATCAACGCAAAAGAATCAACCCTCTGCCCCACAGTAAGGCACTTCACTCCGCGTATTACATATATAATAATTTAGACTTACATAACTTAAATAGTACCTACTTTTGACCACAGGAAACAAATATTGTACTACCACACCAGAAACTCCTTAGGTTTTGTGAGAAACTTGGTAGAGGAATGAAGAATTCTTTTTAGAGGATAATAATTATTAATTTACCGATTATAAATTATGATGATGAATAACTCATTTTGTCTTTATAAAGACATTGATTAGATCTTTCTATGTCCAGAGAGATGTCTGCCAATCCTACATTCAGGTCCTATCCGGGGGTCTACAAAATTATTTTTTGTTTATAAAATAATCTGTACGCTACACATACACTCTTATATTATACTGTCTAACTATATATTAAATCTAGAAAAATGAATCCTTATAAATATACATTCCATACAATTCATAGTTATCTTTTAACAAATAGTATATTAAACATTGAACACTCCAGGCGAAAACGATTTTACAACTACATGCATACATGATTTTAATACATTGGTGAATATGAGTATTTATATTTTATTAAAGAAGAAATTTAATTGATTCCCTGAGAACCTAACAGTTTCTTCATTTAAATGACTAGAAGCTAACCCTATTCACAAAGCTAAATACAGCCAATTAGCTCAAAATTTGGCAAATTTAAACCATAATAGCAGATACAATTAAAGCTGAGATTATAATAATTTAAACATTTATAAATAGATTTGGTAATTGAGACTCTAAACGGATCACTCTAACGAGAGATGTCAATTTCCAATTATCAAGACTAGGGTTCTTTGGTGAGTACTGCTCTGGAGCAACAAATGTGCTGTAGTAGGATATCACTTCATGTGATGAGTCTCCATCTAAGTCAGCTATTGTCATAGATTTTTCTTGATAATCTAAGTCAGGTTGACATTGAGGCACCGGAGTTTGACTCTCTATGGGCCCTCTAACACATATTTGTACCATGTCAGTTTGACTGATGTTTATACTGTAGCTCATCTGCTTATCAAATACTACTAAAACTATCCTTTCAGAGATATCATGCACTGTAAAGTTAGGATACTTAATGAAAGCAGAAATTGAAGCAACATCAATGTTGGAACGGTAGAACATGTCATTAATGTTTTTAGGACTGTCATTTTGAATGTTATATTTGACCTCATCTATTTTCCGTGCACCCTTTGCCAGGTGTGCACTGTTCCACTGTCATAATTTCAACACAAACCCTCGTATAGAGTTTGCAAAGGCAAACGAACTTGGCCTCATGGCATATATGTTGTATCCAGTGTACTCCCAAGTGACATTAGTTGTGCCATTCTTTTCCAGCATCAATGTGAGATATACTCTGCAAGTTTTAGGGCATTCACCAACATTGACTACTTCTAACTTTCCACGGCCATTGACAAAAGTCTCCCTAGTTCTTTCTGCATTCTTTTTCATGCTAATATTTAGTTTTTTTGGTGTAGGTGGAGACTGTATACGAGGAATTGGTTGTTCCCTTTTTAGCAATTTCTTTAGTACTGAATAAGATATGCTTCTCACTGCTTTAGTGATATCATTCCTACAAATGTAAGTGATTGTATCTGACACAGAAAGCTGCTCTACAGATGTACAATCCTCTATTGGTATTGGCTCCGCCATAATGTTTCCTGTTGCCCCAGAAACTATTATTAATGTGTTATGGTTTGTGCTTGGGTACACAGTGGCTACAGACAGCAGCTCACTTACTTTATCATCATTCATGTCTTTTATTAATACAGGAAAGTCAATTAGAGCAATGTTGAAGACTTTACCTTGTTTGTGGATATGCCAATAATATGTTCCTGAAACAGAATCCAAGGCAGCTAGTAGCCCATCAGTACCAGATACTATGCAATCCTTTTGTTTGTCTCTATTGACATCAATCAGATGACAATTAATGTCCGTTGGTATCCTGCTTTCCTTTGTGAACCAACCCACTTTGCCAGTGTTCCCAACTATCAAGATAACACCATTTATATTGTCGTAACTTCTCTCAGTTTGCTGTCGCATATGATTGCCTCTGTATATAAATATCAAGTTCTTTATGTTCGGAATGGCTCCGTCGACAACTTGGACAGTGCCTGATAGTTCCATTTCACTGTAAGGATGCTCCCAACTCATTGTCCTATCAAAAAACTCACTAGTGCAGCTGCCGATTTCAGAGCATGGTATACCCCACAGAAATATAACAACGGTGAACACGCACACAAGTATTGAGACGATAAAGGCGCACCGACGTGAAAACGACATCTTATTCGACATATCTGATTGCAAAAAGCTAACATTGTCCATTGTGCTCTCGACAGTATTCACATTTGTGTTAAACTCGTCCATGTCACTTATGCTGTAGTTCTTAGATGACTGAAGACCGCTATTAAAATCTAAGTTATTACAGCTATCTGCCCCTTTGATGTGAGCATTTTCGACTTTGTGTTCATCTTCGGACTCTGAATCGGACAGAATTTGTTTCAGCGGCGCGTAGTCACCACCGTTCCCATTAGCTGACATGGCGTAAGTTCAAGTACTACCTTTTGTTACATTGTTTTCATTTATAAAGTGCAAGGTGATCATTACACTTTAACGTTCTATCTATGCAAACAATAGTTAATATATTAACATTTACGATCTCATAAAGCCAAATTCCAAACCAAATCCAGCTTAAGCAAAAAAAATCGAGACGTTTCGTTTCATGCAGATAATGCCCATTGCCGGCTAAGTACAATTCTTGAGTTTTATGTGTGAGATACTACAATTATCTAAAATTGGGAAAAGGGTAGGCAGATGATGACTACAATTATCTTTAATAGAACGCTATCATAACTGTTACCAAAACTAATATTATCCGTAAAAATTGTTTTATATTAAATACCTATTTCATTTAAATCATGATGCATTAAGGACCGTTGTGCACTGACGTAGTGTGCCGTGCTCGTGCATCGAGTGTGCCATGCTCGATGATCATCGATGTTTTAACATCGTATTGCATTACACAAAACATCGTAACATCGATGTCACGGACACAGAAATTTGTAAATCGACGGTCTGCACCCAAAACACGTTGAATTAAAAAAATCATGAGATTTTATGGTCGTTGAATTTCTAGATGAGTGTTTGCAAAAGACATTGATGTTCTGCTATCGATGCCATCATCGAAGTTTTTGCAAAATCGATCACCCCTAGCCGTGTAGGTGCGGTGCACGATGCGCCCACTGTGGGATCAGCCGATCATGACTTTAGACGACTAACTAGCCGACTCGTCGGTCAAGCCCATCACGGTTTTTGGTTTTCGCCGTGACGCTTCATTTGCACCTCATTTGCAGCTTGCAACCGTCGCCTGCGAGCGTGTCGGAACTTGCGTGGAGATAAGGTGAGCGAAGAACAAGCGACACTTACAACGGAATCTTTGTTAGAAGTTTCAGAAACAAATAAACAGAATAATAATGTAGCAAGATTTTAATAAGATGGTACAGATAATGCAATATTGCTGGCAGGAGCTTCAGAAGTAAATCCAATAATAATAAAAATTATGAAAACATGACTGAACTATCTGTATGTAATGCTGTGTAGGTAGAAATTGAAACCTCTGAACGTAATTCCAGAAGCAGATCTATTACTGGAACATCTAGAACAAGACAACCTCGAGAGCGGAAAATTAAAAAAAATATACATTTCAAACTTCAACTTTTGTATAAGTCCTAGAGCAACATACAAAGATAAACCTCGTCGTGACGTCACAACATCTTATAACTTCTCATGTCATTGAAGCATGCGACCAAGATTTATACCCTCGGATACCACCTATTGGTGGCATGTCGGACTCGAACCGACTAAAACCGCACACCGTCTCGGGTACTAATAGCCGGGGAACTAGGTATACCCTAGAAAGGAAGTCCCTGGTGCAAGATTTATACCCTACGTAAAAATGTTCTAACACACCTAAGCACGTAGGTCACTATATAAGTTTTGAGATGCTCGAAATTCGATCACCTGATACATAGGCCTCCCTATTAGAATAAATAAAAAATTAAAAAAAAAAGCTTTGTTGTCGTTAGATACCTCGTTTGCTCTCCGAAAAGGAAAAAAAAACCCATGTGGAATGCTGCAGTGAGATGCGTCTACGTTTTGAAAATGGTAAGTCCAGACGTGTTTCTGAAATCATTACTGGCGACGAAACATGGATATATTAATGTGTTGTAACAGCCAGTTGTCAACAAAATTGCCAAGACCACGATACATTGGCAAAAAAATGGTGGCCAGTTTCTTTTCACGGCGTGGACATCTTGCAACATATTGATGTTGCAAAATATCCACTCCGTGAATGTCGAAATGTGACATTGTGATGTGCAAACAAACACACATTTACTTTTGTAATTTTCGTGAGCGAACAAACTAACATTTTACAGGTTAATTATACCTACGAGTGTTTGCCCCACGGCTTTGCCGACGTGACACTATATGTACAAAATCTTGATTAGGTCGTCATATTTTGTAAACATCTCCTTTTTAGTAACGCACTGCAATGCACTATGCTGATCATGAGCGAATTCATACTCCGACTCGCACTTGGCCGGTTATCGGGTGGCTGTGACCACAACGTTTTTGAGGGCTGCATCCGTACTGGTATTACGCGATCTCCATTAAGGATTTACCTAATCTATAATATATATAAATAAGAGATTGCCACGTATATAGTCACTCATCACGATATCTCTGGAACCATTAGAGCTAAAGACTTGAAATTTGGTAGGAAAATTCTTTTCACCGAGTAGAGGTCAGCTAAGAACGGATTTTAAGATATTCAAAAAAAAAATTTTAAATAATGTAAATAGCAAAACAACGTTTGCAGGGTCAGCTAGTCTATTATACGATATGTTTAAAAAGGTTAAGATAAATATATTAATAGACCCCACCTCTTTTTGTATATCGCAATATACAAAAAGAGGTGGGGCCGGTTTAAGGTCAATTGCAATAGACGTAGCGGGACCGTTTCCTGAAAGTGAAAGCGGAAACAAATACTTCATGGTTGTAATAGATTATTTCACCAAGTGGCCAGAAGTCTTCGCCATTCCCAACCAAGAGGCTTCAGCAGTTGCAGATAAATTAGTGCACGAAGTCTTCTGTCGGTTTGGAGTGCCTTTAGAAATTCACAGTAACCTAGGAATTTTTTTTTAGTCTCAAATATTTCAAGAGATGTGTCGAGTAATGGGTGCTCACAAAACCAGAACAACCTCTTACCAGCCAAAATCGGACGGAATGGTGGAACGATTTAACCAAACACTGGTGAGGTATCTGGCAATAGCTGTGGCAAGTAGATAAAGAGATTGGGACAAACACATCCAACCGTTTCTTCTGTCATACCGAAGTGCAGTCCACGAAAGTACTTCACTAACACGAGCTTTGATCACTGGAATACCCTTTGATGCCCCGCGTAGTATAACGGAGTACGCGAATGACTTACGCAACAAGATGAATGACATTTATGAGCATGTCAGACAATCGGGCCAACAAATGTCTGAGAAGATAAAAACCTGTTATGACCGGAAAGTGAACAATAACGGCTTCGAAGAGAGTTCATTAGTGTGGCTGCTTAATCCAGTTCGCAGTAAAGGGATATCTCCGAAGCTACAAGCCAAATGGGATAAACCATACCGGGTATTGACGAAAATCAATAATGTTACCTACCGGATACAGAAGTGTCCAAGAAGCACCCAAACATAGTTCATGTGGATTGATTGGCGCGAAATTATGGGACCGATAATGCTCGGAACGAGCATGTCTTAGAAAGGGGTAGTGTTGCGCCATTAAGACATCCGGACTCTCAATTCAATACCCTAGTTCAGGGTTGTACAAACCGAATTTAGATACTGGAGGCTACACGTGCTGGCTTTACCACCGTAGAAGCGCTCCAGCCGGTCATCGTCGAGTGGGCAGGGCGGTAGAACGGGACCCTTTCCCTCCGGCTGCCGCAGGTCCTTTCTGCTCGGTCCGGCTGCTTCGGAAAGCACTCGGTAGCTAGGAGGGATTTGAGTCCCGCATGTGTCACTTTGATTACAGTGAGGACTCGGCTCAGCACACGTTGGCAATTTGCCCGGCTTGGGCGCCGCAGCTCCGGGTCCTCATTGTAGTCGTCGGAGGGGATCTCTCGCTACCGGCCGTCATACGCTCCATGGCCGGTAGTGACAGATGTTTTACCGCGGTCGCATCCTTCTGCGAAGATGTCATCTCGCAGACGGAGGCGGCGGAGAAGGCCCGGGAGGACAACCTCCATTCGGACCCAATTCGTCGCTGGCGAACCGGGCGGCGGAGGCGCTCTTAATACCGCCTCATGCCGCCCTGAGTGTACCGGACGTCAGCTAAATGGAGAAAGTACCCAAAGATGATGCACGCGCATCGCGCCCGATTCCGACACACAACCCCGCCGCAAACCCCGGTTTGGTGACGGTCCGAGGGGGTTTCCACAAGTAAAAAAAAGGCGGGTAAATTATTTGAGAGGGTTCTCTCTGCCCGCATCGTCCGGCATTTCTTCAAGGTGGGCCTCTATCTGTCAGACATCCAATTCGATTTACGAGCATGGCAGTTCGACGATCGGCGCTGTGTTGCGCCTCAGGATCGTGACCAAAAAAGCAGTGAGCCGTAGCGGCGCGCTGTTGGCGCTCTCGTAAGATATCGCCAATGCATTCAATAGCCTACTATTCAGCTACATCAGGGAGGCATTCCACTATCACGGGGTGCCAGAGTACCTTAGATGGCTTGTGGCTGACTATTTAAAGGAATGTACCGTCATGTATGCGGACTAAGATGGATATCTGTCTTGCAGTGTTCCACAAGGTTCTGTTCCTGACCCTCCTGTGGAACATAGAGTACAACTGGAGCCTTTGAGGAGATTTCGCCCGGGCTGAGTGTACATGACACTTTGGTTACAGCCCGAGCGGTGAACTTTCAAGAGGCGGCGCGCCTGCCCACCAGGGGTATCTCTCTGGTGGTCCGGCGCATTTTTTTTAAATAGACAAAAAGCACCTCCGTCGCAAGTCCTCCGCACTAGGAATATATCCTGTTTCGGGGCACTTTACAAACATGTATGAAACGGACGCAGAACCCTCAGACAACAATGATTTGTGGATCACACAAAGTGTTGTCCTATATGGAGTAGATTTAGTTGAGTTACTACTGCGCTGAGTGTTGTGGATGAACCCACAACACTCAGCGCAGTAGGAAGCGTGTAGAAGAAGGCAGTAGAAGTGACCGCTTAAACCACTACGCCATCCGTGCAGTCAATAGACATCATTGAGGCGCTAGACTTACGGTATGCCTTGTATAGGACGTAAACCCTCTTATTTCATGGACCCATCATGGTCCGTACCCGGCCGCCTCAATCGTGATCAACTCGGTCCTCATAACGGTTTAAGCCCAGATTAACGGGAAGTGGCTCTTCAACGAGCGCTTCCGACAGCTTGCGCCAAAACTGCTGCTGCGTTTGCACCGCTTTTGCCCGATTTGGATGGACGATTTCGCTTCAAGACGGCTGTACACGGGGGTTGTCCGTTCAATAGCCCCATATGGTGCACCAGTGCGGACGGTGGCTCGGGAAGTACCTGCACTCGATCACTAGGAGTGAAATGAGTACCGCCTGGGCAATTTGCCCAGCTTGGGCGTCCTAGTTGCAGTGATCAGAGAGAATATCTCGCTGCCAGCCGTAATTATAATATTTTTTTAACATTATTTATGAAACCATCGCTGTCGCATCCTTCTGTGAAAAATTTAAAAAAGCCGTGTGGTGTCGGGGGACGCCCGATAGGAACGAAGTTGTTACGATCGAGTAAAACTGATTAGACACGATTTTAATTACAACGCCATCTATGAAAGCGGCTATTACCTACATATTAAAAACAATTAAAACAATTTATACATTGGTAAAATCTCCTTGCGAAATGATTTCCTATCTATTCGATAGATGGCGCTGAATGTCTGACAAGATGACACGTAAATAAAGAGCAACAAGCCAACATCACGTGGTATTCCCAGGCGGTCACCCATCCAAGTACTAACCACGCCCGATGTTGCTTAACTTCGGTGATCGGACGAGAACCGGTGTATTCAACATGGTATGGACGTTGGCGAACGTTAAAGCAAATTTAATGTATGGTATCCACAGTTAGACGTCAATTTATATTAATAAAAAAGTGTCGTTCCAAATTTTCGTACGAATTTTTTCCGTCTAGCCCCCTTTCACAACGCGCGATAAGGAACTTCGTTCCAAAAAAATTTAAAAAATGCGTATTTACAAAGGTATATTTTGTTGAATTATTCGGTAATATATTGTTAATTTTGTTAAATGTTCGAGACTTTTTTTCTCCGTGTATATAATAATGTTTATTGTATTATGTATATTGTATTTATTGTTTATTGTAATTTCTACGAGTTACTACCTACATGGTAGTAACTCGTAGAAATCATGTTTAATCGTACTGCTGCTGTTGCTTATGATTCATTTATAATAATAGCAAGTACAAATAGCAATAGGTATTCGTCGATATTATTGTAATGCACAACTGCACAACCTTCTTTGTAGTAGATATTTATTTTTTGATTTGAGCTGGGCGCTGGGGGCACGCCGATTGATGTAAAGGTATTTGTTTTAAAAATAAAATATATTATTTTAGGCAGAATGTATATTTTGTTTTTTGTATATAAATTATTTGCAGTTCTTTCAGTACATTAGTCTACAAACGTTTAAACACAAGTATTCTCTATTATGTCACACTTATTTAACTGGTGCTTTTCCCTTACAAAGTGGTACAAAAATAATTCCCTTTCAAAATAAACAATTGGTTATATATTAAAATAATTTTGAGGCTCATTCGTTCAGTAAATTAAATAATAACACGTATTTAGCTAATAATTCATATTTATACATAAATGTGAAGCCTAAATTACACTAGTTGAGATTATTCAAGGTACATTTATGACCTTTATTATATTAGTGAACCTCATTTGCCGAACCTTCCACCTTATGCTACCTGACAGTTTTTTGCTTTGCATAACCAAAACATAGGATGTCACCACACTAGATCCATGAAACAGTGCACAGTTGATAATCTTGGAATCTACTTATAGTAGAGTTTGGGTGTGGTAACATTGAATGATACACCGAACCATTATATGGATCACTACCAAACACTATATATAATCATATATTTTTCAATACTTATTGTATAGAAATAAATAGGAAACAAAATAAGAATTAGCATGTTCAGCCTCAAAATACTTCCATTAAAATGAAATACGCAGATTGGAATTTCAGTGTGGTTTTCTGGTTTGATGGCACTACTATTTTCTATGGTCTTTATGGGGTTGGGTAAAGAAAACAGAGACTTGTGAGCAGTTGTAAAGCCAACCGTTATTAGGAACAAAGAAAGAACTAAATATAATGTAAATTTTCAATAAACCTTAACCAAGAAATAAATAAAATATAGCTCTACTACATAATGTGATGAATTCTTAAGACAATGGACAAGATTAGGCATTAGTGAATAAATAACTGTCTTAATAACTGCAGCAATTGGAGGTTATTTCGTGTTTGTCTTTCCGTCACTATTCGAGTTTGTTTCCGACCATGTAAACTTACTGTAAAAACAATCCTTTCTTTTTTTATGATACAAATGTGTGAGAAACAAAATCCGAAACGTGGGAAAGTTCTCACCGTAGCCTGGACGAGAAACGCATCGTCATTTATTATAATTATATCATATAGTTACGTACGTTCAACATAAAAGTATACAGGTATTTGTTAAACGAAGAAACAATTGAAGTTCAAGGAATCAGTCTTGTGTTATATTCCAATTGGCTTAGTAAAAATAATCTGCGTAAACATTTCACTAAATACCATAGTTGAGTCCCATATTCAATACTTATAAATTAATAGAGTTAATATTATTAATTGAACTATTTATAAATTATTTTTGTTAGTTCGGTATTTTAAGGATCCGGCCCTCTCTAGCAACCTGTACTAGTATATAATAAGTTGCATATTAATTTGTACAAATAAGATTATAATATTATGATAATGCAAACACGAAGTCCACCTTAGAAATCTAGCAGCTCTGTACATACGACCTTTCGCCGCCCATTTATTGGGAAACTGTTGAGCGTCATCATTCGCAATCATTCCTACTAAACTAATATCATCACTAGGCATCGCTCAGATTGGACTAAATAAATAAACTACTATACAGAGGGTATATGAGAGTTAGATCGAGTACGGATATTCGCCGAGATAATCTATTAAGGTTGAGGGAAGTGGTAGGAGTCTGTGCTTGGGGGCGCACCATAACTTGGGAGTGAGCGGGTTGGAGTCCAGCGCTCGGTGCACGGCGAGCCGCGCGCAGTGGAGCAGTGACGGGGGACTTTTCCTTAGCGGCGTCTTAAGCAACACGGGGGAATGCGGACAACCTTCACGGTCTACCCACACGGTACCGGCAGCGCTTCGTTCTTCCACGCGTGTGTAGTGATGCACTAACTCCACAACACATCTAAACCGAGGCATGTACCTCGCCAGAGGCCGGTCACAATCTAACCTGCAACCAAAAACATCATATTCTTTAACTTCCTTAGAAAATACTATTTCATTAAAAATAATGTTTTAATATATTTCTTGAAAAAATTAAATTAGGATCCTAGTTAATTAAAATCTAAACAAAAAGGCTTTGTAATGCTGATGTAAACGGTAAGTTGGAACGAATTTCAATAAAAACTAACTACTGGGTGTTGAGGAAAACCGCGAATTTTGAGAATCATTAAACGGTGGCGTCAATTTACTACGAACTTGTCACACAACGATTGGCAACACTGACGTAAGGTCACAATTTTGGAATACCTTTCTAATAATAATACTATTGACATTTTGACCGATGCTGTGTAGTAAATTTAGTAATTCAGTCATTCATTCGTAAATAATACCGAAAGTACAGAAGGTGACGTGTTTGTTACCGCCAAGCTTTGAATCATTCGACATCTCCGTAAATACGTCACTTGCCGAAAATATTCCATGTACAATACTAATCTTTATATGCATACTTAAATATGTTTATAAAATTAATTATGTTTAAGAAATTAAAGGCAGCAATTTAGTAATTATTTATGTGAGTCTTTATAGTCGAAGTCGTTACTTAAGATTAGATTCTTTAATTACCTAAAGAATCCTTGCTCGTAATGTAGCCTCACGGACGTGGGGCCTCGTTCAGTCTGAACCGATAATGAGAATATGAAGTTCCTGTCACCCGAGTCTCTGACTACAAACGCTCCAACACTGGCATCTTTTAGAAGTGTTCTCGCACCCTGTAAATAAAAAAAAAGTTATTTATTATATAGTTTATTATCATTCTTAGTTGTAAATTACATATTCATTAATATGCAATTAATGTTTTATTATAAAATGACAACTTATTTTCCAATTAATTTTAGTTTTTAAATTTTCTGCACCCCATCAAAGGTAGAAGCATTTGTTTATTGTAGTTTTTGTAACTATACAAAACAAATTTGAACAATAATTATAACACCTAAAAATTTTTATGAATTAAACCCAATAAAAATGTCTAATGAACAGTAGTGGTTATGGGGTAATCTGTGGGCCATAGGTACCTTTTTCTCGAGCACCATAGAAAAGTTATGTATTACCTATCAGGTGAATATGTCTATAACTGTATGTATGTATGCATGTTTATGAAACATGATTATTAATTACTTTTTGCTCATAATTACAGATAATAATTATTTATCTTAAATGCAGACTGAAATTCAAATACATAATAGCCTATTATACTGCCATGATATGAATGATGTTATTTAACATTTTGACCTTGTATGACTTTATCTTTGTTAAACAAGACTGGAACATAATTTAAAAGAGTGACATTGAAATTTGCAATGAAGTGGATCTTATTTATTTAAGAAGCCCATCAGGAAGTATTATACATTTATATGGGTAACATTTACAGTAATTACCTCAGAATAGTTATTAGAATTATTTATGTACATATAAATTAAGTCACTTAAAAAAAAATGACAACAAAGGTTTTACTTCATATAGTTGTTCTGACTATTGCCTGGACCTCATATAAGATGAGAACAGATTAGTTGAGATAGTTAGAAAATAATTATTTATATCAGTTTCAGAGATAGCATTGATTTGCAACTAACCTGCCAATCCAAACTGCCGTAGTACCAGCCTGAGAGTCTTAGCGCTCTAAGGGTGTCTGCTAGCCTTCTTAACTCTTCATTGTAGGATGATTGTATTAAAGGTGTTGATGGAGGGGCATATAAAGGGGTCTGTGGCAAGTAGGTAGGCTGAAACGTAAATGGTGAGGGGGTGTGTGGGCCAGTGCATTTGCCAGCACTTGGCGTTAGGGACACCCTCAATTCGTGCCTGCAATTGGGACAGCATGCTACACCTGCCGACCAGCTGCCTAATGGCACCCCTACTTCCACACAAGCATCTGAAAAGACAGAAAAGAGCATTTAGAATAATGACTAACTTATAAAGTTGTTACAACATTTAATGGTATAGAGGGCTCACAATGACTGATAGTCTTGTAGATTCTCATGTGCTAGTATTTTTTTTCCACCTAGCTTATTTCCTAAACTAGGTTGGGTCGACTTTAAGTATACTACAATACGGCTGAACTTTGATTTATTTAAGAGCAACTGCCATCAGACCTAAACAACCCAAGTACTAGGCGATATAGAAGTCCTGTAGAAAGTCAGTTGTTGTACTTTTTAGGGTTCGAACTATCCATAACGATTGCTACATATGTTAACTTGCTCTATGAGGCACAGATGTCACCCATCCATTGACTGACCTAGCTAGGTGCTTAACTTTGCAATGTGTTAACCTATTCAGAAACAACTTAGGTATGAACCCATGTACTAGTAATGAGGTGAATAATTATATATACTGATATCCATCTTGAACAGCTGATTACAACCGCTGACTAAACATAGGTATCAACAACAATTGATTATCATAGTAAAGATTACATCCTTTCAGAACTGGTTCTGTCCTGTATTTGGTGAGTTAAAGCAAAAATTGTATAAATGTATGATTTATGGCATTTTGACTTTGACATACTAAAATCACAGCGATAATAATATGAAGATTTCTTGACATTTATTGAAAATGATCATAGAATAGAAATTATTATGATATTTCTTTGTACATAAAACTTAAATCAGTTAAAAATATTATATTTATGTAAAGAGGAAATAAATATGTAAAGAGAAGGTGATGTTAACATTATCCTATTATATGACAAAGAAAGCATGATATATGTAAAAAAATAGCATGTGTTATTTTAAATAACACCTGCTATTATAAACTATATTTGAAACATTTCCTTATAAATTTAATTTAAAATGCCAGGATAATTGATAATTTTTGTAACTTTTTCAATTGGTCATCATTATAAGATGAATTATTTAATATGTAAATACCTAGCATTCATTTTATTTACCACTTTCATTTTTGTACCATTCTCAATTACCATTTGAGAGAATTTCTATAAATTTAGATATCAAATGAATTAAAAATCAAGCAAGGAGTTTCCTTTTACAATTGCAAATCAGTCATAGATTATAAAGAGTCGTCATGTTAAAGTTATCTCAGCTAGTGATGTTTCAAAAAACTCTTAGCAAATATTATCACTCACACCACATTTATATTTCTTATCACACTATTTTTATAGTGTGGTATGCCGATATGGATATCATAGAGTCATGTGTTAATATAATGATTTGATGCAGTTGACGCTGAATTATTTAACTTCAAATATTATTATGGTCAATATTTAATAGTCTTAATAAGATGTTTTGTTAGGTACGCAAAAAAATAAATTTAAAAATGTTTTATTTCTGTCTTTTACCATGTACATTTTGAGAATGTTTTCGTTTTAGATCTCCGGCCAAGATAGATTATGGCAATAAAAAAGTCTAATACCTATCATTATTGATCTCTAAACATGATACTGAACGAATCTTGGAACATTACATACAGTTTCATTAAATGACATGAAGTAAGGTTTTGTTGAGGCAATTTTAACAAGTTACCCATGCATATAACCTAACATTCACTAAGTCTTTATTAACCACACTACTAATGAAATAATTATCAAAATTGCTGTAAGAGCAAAAAAAATGCCTATTTGGAATTTATTCACGACTGTAGACTTACTTTGCGGAGATAACCTTGCTGTTAACGTCATGTTTAAAGGACAAATTTTTGCTTCTCGCCTTTCAATTAAGCACATTTGTTCACTGAACGGTGGCTTAACGCGTGAACCATCCACTCGATGTCCGGAGGCCACGATTCACTCAGTAACGAAACACTTAACAAGTCCACATCCAAATTGTCATGTACCATTCATGTATAAAATTAATAAGACTTCGTCACTTCCTAGTCACTCACAAATTTAAAAAAAAATTGTAAACTAATAATTCCACAGGTTCACTTTAACAACAACAGAACAATCCTAATGTCATCTTCATTTGTTCAAAATAGTGTAGCACTAGTTACTAAAAAGAATATTTTTTAAATAAATAACTAATTTAAACCGTGCGCAACCGCAATAAACGCTACTAGCACAATGAATGAAATGAGTGGCGAGTGCCGCTGCGCTCTGAGCAAACGTGTCGCAACTCCCAACCGAACTAAAGCAACGCTAGTGCTATTCTGCTCTGCGTGGCGATATAAGTGGAGAGGGGATTGGTCGGCGAGGCTGAGCAACACAGACACTGATACGAAACTCGAACGTTCACCGCCTTCCGAGAATTCATTCACTGCCAATAATAATTACTAGCTATCTAGCTGTTTACTATCTACATTGTATTTAGTAATGTGTGGCTTAGCAGTTCTGAGTAAAATTAATCTTTTGTATATATTTACGACCAAAATTTCTTATTTAGTCGTAAATATATACAAAAGATTAATTTATATCTTCTCTCACGTTAAGTCTATCTCATGTTAAGAGTAAATAAAAAATACTTATTTATTTTTATATTTATGCTAGAAATATAAATATAGTATAATAGTGCACCAATATTTACCCTCTAATATTACACGTCTATTCTGTTGACACAGTTTCTTAAATAAGTTGGTACCGCCAGTTATAGTTCCCGAGATGCTCGACAATAAGTGGGTAAAACGTATAACTAATGCGTAGAATACTAACTAGTTTTGTTGCTTATTAGGTTTCTTGTCAAACTTATAATACAAGCAGTTTATTAGGTAGCTACGCTCCAGAGTACCTAGCTAACTAATAAATGCCTACCTATATTTTATCGTTACCAGTCAAGGTAACTTTAAGGAATCCCACTATAGTCCGTTTTTCATCCTAGAGACAAAACTGACACTTAAAATTACTTGTTGATTCTTGAACAATTATTTGTTATTGCTTTCTTTCTTTGTCTTCTCAATTTATTTAAAAAATTAAGAAAATGTTAATCGTCTAATGAAGATTAAAAATATTGGGTCTGGGTCTAAATATTGGTCTATTTTTAATGTTTCGGTAGAGAATATATACCTCAGCCTATGCTTGTCCACTGCTGGACATAGGCCTCTCCCAATGATTTCCAGCGGGGACGGTTGATTGCGGCCTGCATCCAACGGTTTCCGGCAACCTTTACCAGGTCGTCCGTCCATCGGACGATTGGTAGAGTAGCAGAAAAGAAATGAAGATTGAAACGAGTATTAATTAAACCAATGAAATTCGGTCCGTTGTTGTCAATGTGTGTGTGTTATGAAACTTGCAAATACTAGAGGTAATGCAAATACAAAGATGACCAAAGGGGCCAAGGGACTTCGTCATTTCAAGAATAAGCGACCTTTGGTATTCCTCTCTTAATACTGCCTTATTTCAATGTCATTGTTAAGTTGAGAGATTATAGGCACAAACAGAGGAATAGAATGAAGTTAAATCTTTTATTTGCCATGTTAAGAATACGCTGTGGTTTGAAGCTGGAAGGAGAAAGCTGCAACAAATATGAAATTCTAACGAATGTTGTAAACCAAATCGGTACCAAAGAATCGTATTAATCTGGAACCGACCATGATGATGCTGACAAAAACGATTAGTATCAGTATTAAATTTTAATAATATTAAGGAAACTAGTTATTAATTTACTTATGGTTTTCTTTCGTAATTACTAATAAATTGTTTAGTGAAAAATTTTGTGCCATTAGAGTAGGGTCGTTTTTCGTTAGTGGTTTTTTGGTGGTTTTATATGTTGAATCTGGTGGAGAGTTCAATTAACTGTTGGCAGCACTGGCTACATTTGTAGTTTAGGGTAGGTAGGAAAGTAGTCGGTGAATAGAAAAGGCAATAATTTAACAGTAAGAATTTCTATTAATATACATTTATTCTTATTTTAAACTGTTCACTTTTTACAATTTTGTGTTTTATATAGAAGTTTTCTTGAATAGAATAATTTTTCAGCTCCTACATGGAAAAAGTTTTAGGCTAGATAGCCATTAGTGATTTCTGTCACGCATGGTGGCCGTAGCCGATATGGAGTCTTTGTGTACTGTTTTGTTCAATGGCTTTACCTTTTACAACGCGCACGATCTTCGTTTCCGCGAAATGCTTTCCATATACTGGCACTGCGTTGTTTAGGTACGCACCTATATCTATAAATCCATGACAGCATTTATTTTGGTTACCATGTCTATAAAGATCCCTTTGATATTTATTCTACTAAACGCTTAATCTACGTCGACGGATATTATTGTACATTAAATATTTTATGCCTGTAAATATCTATATTATTTACTGTGCGAGGAATAACGGTGAATGACTGTGGCAAAACATATAAAACATTGTGTGAAGAGGATTGGCTTCAGGGATTTCCTTTGCCGCCCTCTGCTATATTTTTCTATAGAAATGTTATCATCATGTCGATATACGGATAATTTTATGATAGTAAAGTGTACCTGTATCATTAGATATTAATATAACATATATATATATATATATATATATATATATATTAAGCAAGTATACAGCAATGAATGACACACTTTAAAGCAGCTTCCGTTTTGATTAAATGATAAGATACGATTATTTTAGTGATTATTACACCTGTCTGCACTATTCTTACGTTTAGTTCAAATTAACGTGACTCATGGTGACTAACTGATAGTACTGAGTACTTATCTAATATGGTACAGTACTTATTTATCTTAACATGAAAAAAAACAAGAGTATGAAATATTCCTTAAGAATAACAATTACAAAGGAGCTTTATCATTCAATTTTAACAGTTACACAATGTTTAAGAGTAATCCTGATTATGTAAACTCTTTTTATTTAAATTAAATTTCTTTCTGAGGTTCTTCCAAATGGTAGAGAAGTGGAAATGAAAATGTACGGTAACAGATCATACGAGAACAGCAACAATTAACAGTCTGCAACATCGGTTATTAAATAGCATTGCAGGAATATAGACTTAAGCACGCAGGTGTTCGATTCGCGTCCGAGCGTGCCATAGAGAACGAGTTCCTCGTATTACGATTATATTCGGCGTTCTCGGAATCCCTTACCTGCGCCCGAACAGCTTTCACAACCATCTGCCGGCTGTCATTGGCGCGACGCGCACTCGCACTACCAACACGCTGCCGCGCAGCTGCCACCCATTGAATAAGCGTAAGTCCCTTAATAATAGAGATGATTTATTTTATATGAATTCGCCATAATTAAATGTCTGTAGGTATACAATGTGCCCCTAGGATTATTACATTGATGGAGTGGATACAGCTGTTGAACAGCATCAGTGGGGAATTACACAATATATAGATAGAAGTAGGTCTAGGTATAGTTTTTTGAAACCACATTACGTTGATTTGAAATTAGTAAAGGTAATAAATAATAATTATTTTTTATTTATTTACACTTCCTGCATAAGGTACAACTTGCACAAGGCGGACTTAATGACACATGGCATTATCTACCAGTCAACTTTAAGATGGTTCAGTAAGGAACATGTGCACCTGACATGGATTATGAAAAAAGGAGAGAAGTTATGAAAAGATAACATTTTAATTAATAATGCTATTTAAAGTACATAGATAATACACAAATAAATATTTATAAAATATAGGTTAGGATATAATATAATACTGTTGCACTTTTAATTATAATAATAATGAAAATACATAGTTGGTATTTGTAATGTTTCAATTAAATTATAATGAAGCCTAAAGAACATAGAAATAGAACGTATCTTTGTCATGACCAGTGTTGCCAACCTTAATTTTTTACAACCTGCTACTTCCTTACAAAAGAAAGTAGTAAAAATAATATGGTGGGCAACACTCTTCAATAAGGGAACATGAAGGTATTCCTAAGTACGTTTAAACCCATCTATGTTTTCGACTGAAAGACTTGTATCTTTGGTCATGAACAAAAAAAATAAAAAAAAGGGAACATGAAATTTGGCGGGAGAAGTTCAAGACAAAAGACAACAAGGGAAATGGGATGTGAGTGGTTTAAAGATTTACAAAGAAATCATTGTTTCAAACTGAAAATAGGAGATGCTGATAATAGGAGGGACTCAGTAAGTTTCCTAATATTATTTTGACCTGTTAAATTTTTATATAGGTAGTGAGAATGAAGTGAATAGTGTGATAGGTGGCGTTTCTTATATTGGAGATGAAGATCATTAATTTGAGAGATAGTCTTCCGAGTTAATAGTGTCAGTATAATATATATTTACCCGTTTCTTTTTCTTTCAAAACATATAAATTACGTTTCATTTTGGGTTAATACTAATGAATGTCTTTTTGGTTTTGAAGAGTCTTATTGTTGTAATTTTTAACAATATTGTCATTTTTATATATTTTACATAATGGTTTTAATTAAATTAGTGTAAGAGTTTACACTAAACTCACTAAAATCAATTTAAAATAATTTTCTGTTATCATCTTTGTGAGTCATTTAATAAATTTAAAAAAACGTTAGAATGTGAAACAGGTTTCGGTACACGTTCTCCTAAATCTATAAAACTGACTAAAAAGTGAGCTTCATCTTAGGTATGTACAATTCAAACAAAGTTCCCTCTACCATTTATGAAGAACAACTAAACTAAGCACAACTCATTTAGGAAGGTCACAGTTTTTCGTGGAAGATGCTGGCACACTCCGATTTCAATTTCACTGTGAATACCGTTGTTCTCAGTACTTCTTTATTAGACGTGAAGAGTTGAGGCTGTA